ACAGGGCCTGGACACTAAACCCTCAACCCTAAAGAGACTAAACCCTCTAGCCCTTTAGACCTTCCTGGCTCCTTCCGGTGGGATTTTTTTTGAATCCAAGCGACATGACCAAGGCGGCTGTGCATGCGACGCCTTGGCAAGCTGAGTAAGCTCAGGCGTAAGAGGCTTGGAGCCTGCAGCTTAAGGTTTAAACAAGTGCTCCCGTACTTATTTCTTGTGATCAGGGGCAACCTCAGTCTCATACCTCCTCATGGTTGAGGATTTGAGGTTTAGGTTCAGCGTGCAGAGGTTCAGGGGTTTGGGGTTTCGGGTTTCGGGCCTTTAATTCATCTTGCCAGAACCGTAATTCTGGGATGTAGGCCTAACTGAAATCTTAGGGCTCGCAGTTCGCACGCGTAGTAGTGACAGGCGCCATGACCTGCAGTCTCAGTGCTCGTCCAGTGCTCGCCCTTGTCAAAAGACTTTGGGTGCCTGAAGCCATATGTTCTCCCGGATGTGGCTCAACAGAATCTCCGTAGAGTGCCACGAACACGTAAAGCCCAAAAGAACCAAATCAAACCACGACCTCTTGGGCCCAATTCATGAAGTTGAAGCTTCAGTAATGGCTTTAGAGACCAGGGCTGTGCGTGACATGTCGGAGAAACATGCCCTAAACCCTAAGTTGAGGCCTGTCTTCATGGTTTGGGATCCTTGACTTTCAGGATCCCAAGCACTTACGCTTAAGCGTACTATGAGGGTTCCTTCAACGGTGCTTTAAGGATTCCTGTACGGGTACTTTAAGGGTGCAGCATTTGGGGTCATAGGTACCTGCATCGCAAAAATGAGTTTGCTATTTTTGGCGTTGCCATTATGCTTTGGGTAAGTATCCCTTACATAATAGGTACTGAGGACCCTTTGGGAAAGGCTGTCGGCTGGAGTGTTTATGTCTGGGGTTAAATGACATGTTATGAAGCCCTTTCCTGAATCAGTGAGCCTCTTCTAAAACCCAAACCTTATTCTTTGGAAGCTAGACTTCTAAAAGCCACTGAAGGGTACTTTACAGGAATCTCCTGGAGGGATCTGATTTTGAGATCCTCCCAAGAGGTCTGGGCCCTAAACCCTAACCCCTAAACCCTAAACCCCCCAAAACCCGAACTCCCAAAGCAGCTCGATTCCCGCAAGCGAGGCATTTCCTGCAAGCGCGACAGGCCGCGGAACTCTGGGTCTAGCACCCGATAGCTTCTTGAACGTGCCTTCATGGCGAAAAATATCCTAAACTGGTTTAGGGTTTAGGATTTTGAAGCAAGGATTGCGTGCCGTAATGGCGAAAAATGTCCTAAACGGGTTTAGGGTTTAGGATTTTGAGGTACGCGAATCAAGTAAGGATTCATGGTATCCCGTTTTTGAGGGTCGGGTTGTGTGGCCACTTACCTGCACCCAGGTCCTTCAGTAGAAAGTGCCCTGATATAGGGGCCATATAGCAGTGTAGTTATAATCGGCAACCTATGGAATAGTATTAATAGACATCAGGTCCTACCCATGTACTGTTCCGGACCCCAAGTTCCTGCAGCTTAGCCGGAACAAGCGAAATTCACACCCAAAAACGTTCAGATCTAAACTCCTCAACACTACACCCTACACCCCAGACATGTTAACAAGTAGATCCCTTAATGGGGGTTCCTATAAAGTACCCTTAGTAGAAAAGGGCCCCAAAGTAGGGGATGAACCTCAGTTTGTCGCACGTTCCTCAGAAATTCTCGGGTGCAAGGGGTCCGTCCCCTCGCCGGAAGCATTTCTGATCTCGAGGGGCTGTAAGGCTTGAGTCATGCTTTGGGGGTTTTCCGTTTAATTTAAGGACCCCAAATAAGGTACTCCTAATCTTCGGAAACTCCCATTTAAGGGATTGTTGGTATCTGGTTGTCGCCTTGCGCCGTGCTTTCCCGAGGCCCCCCCTCCAAAAAAAAATAAATTGACAACGAGCCCGGGTCCTGGGGCGGTCCTGTATGCTCCCAAACCCATATCCCTGTCTCTTTCCCAAGATGCTACGGTTGATGCTATAAATCCTGCATACCTTCATGACCCTAGACTATGGGAAGTATGGTATGTTCCATTTTCTGGGTAATGCAGGATTTATATCATCAACAGCAGCAACACGCTCGCGTCACTCCTGATGCGGTAGGTCGGACGCGTCGCGTCCCTGTGCGAAGCCCCCCGCTCGTGACACTTGTACCCGGCCCCTGAGTTGCATCTTTCGCAACTTCACTCCCCCCTCTGGTGCCCGCGTCCGAAACCGCGCAAAAGAGATGGCCAATCTACCTGAATGTTGGAGATTTGTCGTGTCCTTGTAATTAAACGTGCGTTCTTAGGTCTTACCTTAACCCTGAAAACTTACCTTTTTGGGGATCCTTACTATGATTTCTTTATATAAGGCCTTAAAACAGATAGGTTATTCGGGGTTAATGGGTTTCTTTCGGCGCCCTGAGACCACAAACACTCCGACCTCGGACAAACTATAGGCATCGACCCCTTTGGTGGTTCCAGCCCCTGCGCGGAACGCCCGTGATGGGATCCTCCAGTTGGAGGTTTCTAAACCCTAAACCCTAAACCCGGAGGTTCAGGATACTTAGGGGGGTACTGTTAGGATTTAGGCCTAGGGTGTAGGATTTAGGCCCGAGGGTTTAGGGTTCTGAAGGCTCGACCTACTTATAACCTAATTCCCACGGGTTCTGCAAAGGCTATGTAGACTCTCTGCTTGGAGGTTCGTGGCACTTACGAAGGTTTAGGGTTTGCAACGACGTTAAAGGGTTTCGGGGTTTAGAGCTAGTTTAGGGTTTAGAACCATATAACCAACTTGAAACCTAGGAAACTAGCTTAGGGCAAATACATTCGGGTTATGAGTGCAAGCAAAGCTAGGTTATATAGAAGTATTCCGAATCTTCAAATAAATTTAAGCCCTCAACCCTACACCTAAAACCTTGAAAACTGCAGGAGGTTTAGGGTTTCCAAACTAAACCCAAAACCACAAATTCCCTGAACCGCAATGGCTTGGGGTTTAGGGTTTTGAGCTGTGGCCTTCAGCATAGTCACCCGACGAAAGAAACTGTCAAATCCTTCACAACCCAAGAACTCCGGGTTGGGTATTTAAGGGTTCCTTTCAGGGCGGGTTTGGGGCTTAGGGCCTAGGGTTTTGGGAGGTGCCATAAAAGGTGCTAGAGCGGTCAATCTCTAAACAAAGCTCGAAGGAGACAATACCAAGCAGAAGCTCGACGTTTGCGTACTTCACAGCCCTGCTACAGGATCAAAGAGATGGAACCCCAGATAAAATCTTTTATACCTCAACCCACGAAACGCGAGGACACGGTTTTACAAGTGGCGTCCTCTCTAGATCTTTCAATGCAGCAGTCTGGTTACACACAGACACACTGTTTCCGAAGAGCTTAGCTCGAACCCTACACCTCAAGTCTGAGCCCCTAAACTAGACCCGAATCCCTAAACCCTTAACCCCAATACACAGGCTCAGCGATCAGATTCCCACGGCAACACATGTAAACCCTTAACTGTGAGAGCAGGGCTCTTTTCAGGAGTTCTTCAAAAGGGTCTCTAGATTTCCGGTATCTTCTGGGTTTAGCGCTGCGGGACCTTCTTAGAATCAGAACAGGGTTGTGGTGGCTATAGAAGGGCGAAGGCACCCTAAGGAAATTTGGGAAGTATTCAGGCCCGTCGTTCCTCCCCCGAAAATGTGCTGATCAGCAAGCCGCGCCGGAGTCAGCAGCGAGGTCAAAACCCGACCTGACATGTTGAGGTGCGCTTCCAAGACGCCCAGGGTGTTTCACGGGATTATTAAAAGGCATAAGGTTCATGGGGCCTTTTTGCAAAGAAGGTAACTATACCTACAGTTGCTTAAAATCCACGGTAAGGGCCCAACAACTGTACTTACTAAGTCCCATGATCCTCTCAGTGCTATAACGGTCGCATGACTTTGGCATGCACTTCAACCCTAGACCACTTACGTTTCGAGAACATGGCAGCTTGCAGACCTTCGCAAGTAAGGAGAAAAACTTCAAGGCAACTTCACCCTAAACCCTAAACCCCCAATTGCCAAACCCTAATCCCGAAACTTTAAACCCTAAGCCCCAAACCCGAAACCCAAAAAACCCTAAACCCGAAACCTAAACCCTACGCCCCAAACCTAAACCCTTAAAGGAACCCTAAACCGATCGATTCCAAGAGCTGGCTGCCTCTTAATTAGTCTTGCTTAAAGGGACATGGGACTTAGTTACTACTAGGGTTCCTGAAAGGGATCCCTAAAGGGACCTATAAGGGTTCCTTCAAAGGGATCTATAAGGGTTCTATAAGGGTTCCTTTAAAGGGATCGATAAGGGATCTATAAATAAGGGTTTAGGATTGGTTTACTTAAAGGGTCATGGCACTCACTAGGGTAATACCTAGAAGGTAACTATACTGATAATCACTCATAACCCCAATCAAAGTACCAATAACCTTACTTACTGAGTCCCATGATCCCAAGTACAGGTTCCCCAGCAGCCCCCCAATCACAAGGGTACCCTCTATCCCACTGTCTGGTCTTAACAAGAGAACTGAAAAACACAAGGGGTAAACGGTACTACTGGGGAACCTAGTCTTACACAAAAAAGAGGCCTTGATTCCTTGATAATAGAACAGGGTTTTGGGGCCCATTATGGCTAGACCTGGGAGTAACCTAGGAATAAAACGGGTGCCCTTTTTGGTTTGAAGGGTGTTAGAAGGGAACCTAAACCTTAAAACAAGAATAAGGACCTACTCTGGTAGTGTATTTATAATAAGGACTCCCCATTTTGGAAAATGCCGTTCATTTGGGGGGCCCCGATATTAGGCGTGTTGGACGTTATGGAGTGTAGGGCTGGCATCTTAAAGTGCCGAACTCGGCGCAAGGCAAATCAATCTTTTCTGCATGTCTGGCACTGCCTCAGCGCCTCTTGGCGTGCTCAAGCCTGCTTGAAATTGATCTCCGAATCATAGCTCTAGGTTAGGCTAATTGAGGTGCTAACCTGATGTAAAGGGCAGAAGAGGCTCAAGGGGGAAGCCTGGCCTAGCTGTGGCACCGGCGTGCCAAGTGCGGCGGAGCAGAAGTAGTCTGCCCACTTGGAACCGTGCGAAAGAGAAAGGACGAAACCGGTGTAGTTCAGTGGGGTGTCATGGGGGGGTGCCACCAGGAGCATGTCGGAGCGGGGCAAGCCTTCGAAGGATAGGTGTCCTACCTCTATGAGGCTTTTGTCAGCGAGGTCTATGAGCTCGCCTCTCATTTGTTGAGGAAAGTCCATGATGCAGGTCCCCCAAACTCCGGTGATCCAGTTCATGGAGTAGCCGTAGTGGATGGTGTCGCCGTTGATGGAGCAGGCCCGATCCATGCCATGGAACTCGCGCAAGTGCATGTGGTCTAGCACGTTAGACCATGACATGGTCCAGGGCCGAAGCTCCGCAATTTGGGAGAGCAGCGCCTCGTTGTCAAGGCTCAGCATTCCCAAATGAAGCTCCTTGCTCTTTTGCAAACTCCAACAAGGGAAGGGAACAACAGTCATATTATGTATTGATCCCCGTACACTACGATGCAAACCATACTGAATACTTGCGATCTTTATCTAACCCTATCATGCTCAAAGCTTATGTATGTAGAATATGGGAGTTTCCGAGAAAAGGGGACCTTAATGTAGTACCCCCTCAGTAGTAGGAGCCTTACTATAAGGACCCCAAAAATCAGGGTACCCCTAATTCTCGGAAACTCCCTTGTCTAACAAAAGAGCCGCGGCTCAATCATCACCTCGCCCCGTTGTAGGAGCCCACGAAGACGCTGTAGACGCCGAAGCAGCAAGGCCTCCATGGCCACCTGATCACAACCCAGAGGGTCCAAATACCCAAATAGTAGGGTTTTAGGTCCCAAAATCGATACTCTGACTGGCTTTTGGACCTCGAAACCCTACTGATTGGGCACTTGGACCCTTATGGCAAGGAACCCCAAAATACTCTATTCTGGCATCTACACTTTGATCGTGTCGGGTTTGGGATTTATTGATCTTCGTTATCTTCAGCCAGCCACCTGGATGTTGGATCCCGTCTCGGTGCCGACCTCGGTCAGCAAGTCCTCGAATACGACAGTCTGCTGCGCAAACCAGACTAAATTGCTACAGTTTCTGCTCTCGGCATACCGTACCCTATGCTATACTATGTACTGTACTTCCTTTTTTTGGTATATACTTAGTACTTTACTCTTCTATATACTGTCCTCGAGCGAGACGGCGTTGAAGGCACTCTCCCCCTTCTGCAGTGGGGGAGACCCCGGCGGCACACTCCACATAGCCAGGCTGCCAGTGTTTGGGCTCTCAAAGGACCGTATGGCCTTGTGCCACTACTACGTCACAGGCGATGTGACGTAGTAGTGGCACAAGGCCATACGGTCCTTGTGTCGTGCCATGCTTGCGATGGCGGACCAGTCACGGCCATCCTCGTGGTAGTCCAGCCACAGGGCGCGCGCCTCACTAAGCGGTACCGGTGCTGCCGAAATCCAGTGGCTGAAGTACGCCTTCACCTCAGTGTCGGCTGGCGTGGCGCAGGCCATACCGGCCGCTGCCGCGCGCCGGAAGGCCTCCTCTGCAAGGGACGTCCATGCGGAGGAGAACCAGATTTGGAGAGGGACTGTCAACGGAACCTGGGGGTCCTTCAGGAGCCTTTCGATGATCCGAGTCTTGGCGACATTGAAGGCGTTCATCTCGTAGCCGATGAAGCGCAAGGGGCCATGGTCATGCTGCGTGCTCGGGCGGAAATCACCTGTAAGAAGGGCACCAAGGTCGTTGAAGCCCACAGCGACATGCACAGTCCCCTGTTGCATCACCTCCTTGCGGTTCAGGCTGTTGGCAAAGCTGTTGCGGATCCGTGTGTCGTACTGCATCTTAAAGTCCTGGCTGCAGAATTCCATGTCGATGACATCACGGGGTCTGAACTGCCGCCCCTCCTCGAAGACAAGCTTCATTCGCTTCAGACCGAGGCCGCCGAGGTGGAACCTCTTCTGCCAATCCTCGAACTCGAACTCAAAGTCACCCGTCTTGATGGCATGGTTCATCATCCAGGGCGAGGTAGTTGCGATGGAATACGTGACTTCTAGCAGCTTGGATGCGCGTGCTACATCCACAGCCACTGGCCAACCGAATTGCTTGGGAAAGTCAAGGTGGAAGGAAGGCACCTCCCTGGCAGCAAGTGGGCCAAACATCTTCGCAAGCTCCTTAATGGGCAGCATCTTCATCATCTGCTGCATCATGACTTTCCTGAGCTCATGTCAAGGAGCTCAAACTCAGCACATGGCAACCCTAAACCCTAAACCCTAAACCATCCCGAACGCGAGCCGGGCTTCTGGTCCCCGGAGTTGGAGAGCAGCTTGAAGCCGTCGTGCGAAGCCTCCTCTCTCTCCCTCAGCTGCTCGTCGGTGCTCTTTGCGGCGACCGGGCGCGCCGCCGCCGAAGCAGCCAGCCTTCTCTGCTAGAAGGGCTTCTCGCAACTCCAATATGGCTTAACTTGCACGCTCTGCGTTAACGTTTTTTGAAGGGATAGACGCTCATCATGTCTGACAACGACGGTCATGATCATGCTGATGATGGTGACGAAGAAGAAGACGAATATTACTCATACTCCTCCCAAAGCATACCATAGACTATAGCGCGGACAGCTTGAAGGCCCCAGGCGCCTCTTGCGCAGGGCCACCGCCTCGGCGCGAACCTCCGGAAGGTCGACGCCCTCCAGAGTGGCGACCGCCTTTGAGGGCGGACTCGTGGGTGGCTTGGGGTTTCAAGGCTCAGGGTCTCTCGGGCTTAAGCCTTAGGGGTTTCTAATTAGGGACCCTGAATCCTGAACCCTAGGCCCGAAACCGTTTAGGGTTTAGACGGTTTAGTGTTCAAGGATCAGGACGGGGTTCAGGGTTTAGGGGGTTTAGAAATGTTTAGAAAGTAGGGTTTGTGGACTTCACTGTCCACAATCTATGGGGTTTGAGGGCTCAGGGTTCAGGCTTCGTGGGATTTGACAGCTTTGGGGTTCAGGGTATGTTTCAAGAATATGGGGTTTAGGTCTTAATTAGGGTTTTCGGTGCATAAACTGAAAAGCTGTGGCGTTGAGGGTTTATGGGGTGTAGAGGTCTCGACTTTATGCTTTAGGGTTCAAGGTTAATGGGGCTTGGGTCCCTGGTTCGGGGATCAGGGTTTGTAAGGCTTTACGACTTTACGCTTTAAGGCACAGGGTTTAGGACGCAAGGTCAAATGTTCAAGCTTCAGGGTGTAGCGTGAAGAGCGCAGATAGACGGCCCACCTCATGAGGGCCACAGCATAAGCCTAGTTTATGGTTGGGACAGTATTAAACACGTATACACTGTTATTCCTCACTGGGTTAACGAACCCCAAAAATGTAAAACGTTACCCCAACTATGACAACGAAGCATGTATTTTCAGAAGGAAAGCGGACTTACAGAGGCACGGGGCCTCCGCAGAATCCAGAGCTCAAGGTGGCAAGGGAATGCTGCGGGAGTCCCGCAAGCCTGAAACCTTACACCCCAAACCCTCACAAGCCTTACACTCGCCCCTGAACCCTAAACCCTCAACCCTCCAACCTCTTAAATCCTGCAACCCTCTCACTCACTCCCTAAACCCTGTAAACCCTAACCCCCTAGACTGTAAGCCCTAAACCCTGAAACCTACACCCCTACTAAACCCTCAATACCGCACTTGGAGGATCATGAGACTTAGCAAGTGAGGTCATAAGTAATTGGGGCTATATGTAATTATATAAGCATAGTTACCCTAGTTATAACCCTAGTGACTAAGTCCCATGACCCTTTAAACAGAAGCCCCAGGGCCTGGTCCAGCTTCAGCCTCTCCATGGACCGGGCCCGGCGTACCCAAGCCTTTGGGGTTTAGGGATTGGGGCTTATAGGGTCTAGAAAGTAGATCCCCAAAGTTGGGGCGTTTAGGGGTTTTAGGGTTTGGGGTTTAGAATCTAGACAGTAGATCCCCTAGTCTGGGACCATATACTACAAAGGGTACTTTAAGGGACTAGTCCTTGTGGGTCAGGGTTTAAGTTTAGGGTCTGGGGTTTGGGGGTTCAAGTGTTTAGGGGTCTAGAGTTTGAGTTTCGAATTTATGGTTTAGCATGTAAGGTGTGAAGGTTTAGGGCTTAAGCCTTGCAAAGGCTCAGAATTTATTTGGAGGTCGGAGGACTTAGTAAGTCGGTAATTAGTAGATACAATCACCAAATGCGAAGGTAACTGGGGGTATGAGACCTATACGTCTATAGAATATAGCTAGTTACTAACCTAAAGGGTTCAAGTGCCCGGATGGTAGGGTTTCAGGTCCCGCAATCTATACTCTGAAACGCCTTCGGACTTTGAAACCCTACAATTCGGGTACTTGGACTCTTAAAGGGTCATGGGACTTAGTAACTAGGGTTAATCAGGGTAACTATACTTAGACTCACTTGCAACCCCAATTACGGTATATAATTATAACCTTACAAATACAAACCAAGTCCCATGATCCTCCAAGTATAGGTTCCCCAGTAGCCCCCTAATCACAAGGGTACCCTTTATCCTACTGTCACCTACTTACTACAGGGAACTCCAGAAAGTTGGAATATGGTTTCATGGTAGGATACCCTATAATTTACCATAGGAGGGTTAGGATAATCATATTCCAACTTTCTGGCTTTTACCTTAAGTCCCCTGACCCTCCAAGTAGGGGGGCCCCAGGCCTTGGCCATGCTTGGGACCAGCAGAAGGGCGCAAGCCGCCTCCTGCAGGGAGTTCTCTTGCTAGGGAAGACGGTTTAGGGTTTAGGGTTTAGGGGAAGCCTCTCATATTTAAGCTATTCAGAGGCTCCATATACAGTACCATTATGGGATTAGGCCCCAAAAGACCATCCGTATCAGGGTTTTAGGGACCTAATTCCACAAGGGCACTATATATGGAGCCTCTAGGTTAATGTTATAGTATACGCTAGCTGACATAAGGACGTGATTGATGAAGTTCATGTGGTAATGGGTTTGGTGCCCTTCCTTGCTGCTACGTGCGGTGATAGCAACAAATATGGTGACCTCACAATGTGACCTCGTTGGAATGGCACTTTGCGTTCAGAAAGTGCGAAATGCTCAACCTAAACCCTAACTCCTAACATCGGTATGAATTCTGATATTATTCTTTGAAAAAGTGTTCACAAAACCTAAACCCCAAACCCGAAACCCCTAACTCTCACATTACTATTAATTCTGGCACTTTACTTCTAGACTTACCCTAAACCCTAAGCTGCTCAAGCAGCCAAGCCTGCAGGGCTTGGCGTAGGGTGCTGGAGGTCTGGGAGCCAGATAGGCGGCAGGCGGCCAAATTCCTGGGTTCTTGTCAGAAGAGGTGACCATAATTTAAGGCTCCTTAGAGGGATCTATAAGGGTTCATTTAAGGGTTTCTATAAGGGTTTAGGGGTTAAGGAATTAATCTAAGTTAAATAATTGGGATTTAGGGCTCCTTTCAGGCTTAAGGAAGTTATTTTAAGTTACCATAATCGGGAAACCATCTTATCTACCATAGACCCCTACAGCGGTAACTTCAATAAAAGTCCTTAACTAGGATACCCAGTAACCTAAGAATAAAAAGGCCTCTCTTTTTGGTATTGGGTAACTTTATAAGGAACCTAGGACTACAAAAAGGGAATAAGGGTACTACTGGGCATCCTGGTTAACAACCCAGATTCGAGAGGAGCAGAGCGGCCTCTTGGAGCTCGGGGGCCAAGAGGCTCAAGGCCTCCTCCTGGGCTTTGTCTCTAGGTTGGCCCTTTAAAGCCTCTGAAAAATATTCGTAAAATAGGGTCCTGTTAAGCCCGATAAGGGAAAATATAAAATGTCCCAAAGGCCTACCTAGTTCTTGGAAGTAAACTGCCTGGACAACAAAGGTATGCAGAATAATGGCCTTTTATGGTGTTGGGCCATCATTTTACCTACTTTTGAGGGCTTAGGTAACTATAGTTGTAAAACTAGTTCTGGTACCAGATACTTAGGAAGGAAACCAGCGGCGAAGGACGATTTTCTCCTATTACCATAAGGCCAAAGGCGTAACCATATGGGCAAAATAATGGTCCCTTTTTGCGTACTGAACATAATACGGCAACTAATGTAGGCACTCATGGTAGTATAGGGTTGGAATAGCTGGAGAGCCTTAACTACACGAAACCTTAAACCTTATTCAGAGCCCTGCTTCGTAGAGGGAGTCCGCAACGTCAGGCTTTCCAGCTTTGAAGGCTTCACCGCCCCGATTTTTCAAGACGTCTGCCGCCTTCAAGCGCTCCGCGAGCGGCGATTGCATCTGGCCCTCAATTCCACCTTGGAGGGGCGGATACCATCATGGCCCCTCCATCACGACGTGCCATATTTAGACTCCACTTGTTGGATTCCTATACAACCACCGAGCTTTTCGGGTTTAGGGTTTCGAACCCACACTTGAAACTGCCACGGTTGATGATATGACCCCTGCCCTGCATTACCTTAAGGACCCTAAATATGGGAACTATGGCATAAACCTCATTATGGGTAATGCAGGATGTTTATCATCAGCCGTATTTTGGAAGCTCCGCCGTCCTTGCCGGAGGCCTTCGTTTTGCTGCACCACGCCGGGCATCCAGCCCCACTCCTCCGGGTCGGCATCTTGGCAACTGCCCGTGCCAGCACTGTTGGCCTACAGGGGCTTGAGACTGGCTTTCAGGGTTCAGGGTTTTTAGGTTTAAGGCTGTTGTTCTAAGGTTTAGGGTTTAGTGCTTTTTTAAGGATTAGGGTTTAGTGCTTTTTTAAGGATTAGGGTTTAGTGCTTTTTTAAGGATTAGGGTTTAGTGCTTTTTTTGGGGATTAGGGTTTAGGGGGGCTGGCCTGCAGGGCCTTGAGCTCGGGCCAAGTTTGGAGCCCCTGCTGCACCAAGAGCTGACCCGAAGCAGGGCTCAGATGGCACAAAGCCTGAAGGCTTCAGTGCCCTCGCCCAAAAAAAGTGACACTCGCGACTATGGTATCAATGCTTCGATGTAGCTATAGATGTATATGTGTGTGAATCTGCACCTACTCAAGCTTAACCTGCTGCTTATGTTAAGCCTAGTCTGTCAACCGAAACAGAAGTCCAAGACTTGCCACGAAGCCTCTGCCTGCCGGTACCTGGCCTTTGCATTCTTGGGATCGAGCAGGGTCGCCACGCTGGCACAGCGTAGAGCCAAGAGCCAGCCTTCGAATAAGAAGGTTTTCGTGCCCGGGGGTTTTTAGGGTTTAGGGGTACGGGTGGATAAAGCTCATATCATGCAGGGTCTTCGGGTTTGGGGGTTTCAAGGCTTGCGGCATCACTGGAATCACGTCGGATTTAGGGTTGAATGCTTGGGGTGTATGTGGGTTTCAGGGTTTATCTAATGCTTATATTGAGTCTCTATAGAGTCTATAGAGCTTTGGGGTCGAAGCGCCTTGGCGGCACAGAGGGCTCGGTTGCTGAGAAGCATCGCCACAGGCACCTCCGGGTGTGCCCGCAGGCCCCTTGCCTGGGCTCATGTGAAGAACAACTGAAGGAAGAGAGAAAGAGGGAGAGAGAGAGGGAACACAGAAACCGACAAACAGTGAAACAAGTATATAATCGAGGTCTTGTAAGCCTTTATGATCACATATTCATCTGTGAAGGGGGAAACCACTCACATGAGCCCAGTATCATAGCACTCCGTTGCGGAGTCGACTTTCTTGCTCTTGAAAAACCTGGGCGATTTCAAGGATCCACGAAAATCCACTTGAAACAGCTGTTTGACGATTTTACACAACTACGCTTCGGCATCAAGACTAAATCCTATTCGTGGTTCAAGAATTTGCGGTCTGCTACAAGGAAAGTGAACAGCTGTAACCTAAAACTTAAACCGCTGCACCCCAGGAACTGGTTGCCGATCTCACGCCAGCTGACAGCACTCCTGGGGAGATGGGTCTCCTGCAGCTCGGCCGGGTTTTCCACGCGGATTCCTGGGGTCTTCTTGAAGGCGTTTTTAATCTGGGCCGGGTGAAGGTTTTGGGTCTAGGAGTTAATGCCTGCAGGGTTGAGGGTCTAGGGCTTGTTTCCAAGAAACCCTCAAATGAAGCTACCGTAATAGGGCTGCGGCGCATGGCATGGTAGCCAGCATGTTTGTGCCTTCTGCCAGCTTAGGGTATGTAGTAGTTATATGGTAATAGTTCGACTAGCGGTAAGCTGACTAACTAGTTGCTTAGAACCTCCTGGACGAAGCAATCAAAGGTACCGTCAGTGCCATCGGCTCGGATCTTGTAGTACGGCTCTGCGATGGAGAGGACACGACCCTTGCAGTACAGTTGCATCGCCGCCTCCGCCGGCACGTTGTAGACGGCCACTTCCACATAGTCACCTAAGCTCTTCTTGAACACAAACCTTACTTCAAGATGCCATACAAACAACGAGGAAGTCCATTATTGATTGATTGTACCGGTCATAGCTAAGGCTCAGTAAAGAAAAGGACCGTGTCAATTGTCACTGATGCACGATGTATGATGGCAACTTCGTTTTGAGCCCCAAAGCCCGACCCAGAAACCTCAAACCCTGAACCCTAAACTCGAAACCTCACTCCTTTACTAAAGCCCTGTTGCCAAAGATGTCCTCCAGCACAAAGGCCGCCGAGGCGATAAAGTCGGGATCTTCCGCCACTGTCCCAACAAGGCGGCAACCTCTTGGAAGGTCAGGGGACATCGTAGAACCCTTACGGGCAGGGGTTCTATCTTTAAAGGGATCTATGAGGGTTCTATACGGGGTCGTCTTGGAGGGTCGGGGGACTTGGTAAGTGGGTGATAAGTACGTAAACGAAAAAACACCTTGACAGGGGTCCTAGTTGGGATTACCGATATTTGTAGGTCTGTAAAATCACTAGTTCCAAATTCCCTCCAACCTCTGTGTGTGGTGCCCACACAGAGCTCCGAGACTCTCATCATGGACAAGCTCCCCAAAACCTGGGCTCCGGCTAAGGAACTTGACTAGGTGAATATAAGTATCCCTAGGAGGCGAATGTAGTGTCCGCTTTGCTTGGTTTCTGTCTTCTAGATCAACTTGAAGTGTAAAGCCTTCGAAAGCGCCGAGACGCTTCTCCTTGCGGCTTCGTGTCCCAACTCTGGGAGAACGTCATGTTTGCGGCATAGTCGCCCGGCCTCTGCGCCATTTTCTCTGCGTTCGCCCGCCGCTTTGCCTAGTTCATGCTTGGGATAATGGTCAACCTTCAAACTTATCTTCCTCATGGGTTGAAGTACCTATAATAGTCAAAAAGTGTTCTCCAACTATGACAAGCCTGCCTGGAAACGTTCTAAGGCGTTCTTGGGAGCACCTCCGCCGCCTCCGCCGAAGAGATCTCCCATCCTTAGGCTCAAATTGCTGAAGGAAGCAGAGCAAGCTACCGTAAGCAGGATTATGGGAAAAGGAGGGAGGGGTGGTAGTGTATAGTCATGGGGCGCTCTAGTTTTTATGGCTCAATATATAGTATGGGGTCACCATGACAAGGAATGTGTGGTTATGAGCATATTTGACTGCCTTCTTCTTGTAACGACGACTCCTACTACTACTACTACCACCACCACCACGACTACTACTACTACTACTACTACTACTACTACTACTACTACTACTACTACTACTACTACTACTACTACTAGTACTACTACTACGGTTGATTATATAAATCCTGCACTACCTTAAGGACCCCAAACTATGGGAATTATGTGATATATCATACTTATGGGTGATGCAGGATTTATATCATCAACCGTACTATTACTACTACTACTACTACTACTACTACTACTACTACTACTACTACTACTACTACTACTACTACTACTACTACTACTACTACTACTACTACTACTACTTATACTTTGGATTCCTCAACAAGGACCCAGCATCCGCTCTGTGGCCTGCTTCATGATGGCCTCGCGGTCTTTTTCGGACATGGATCCAAGGAGCTCCATGACTTTCGCAGGGTCGGGCGCCGACATGAAGTCTGCGTGAAAGGACGCCATGGCGAGGGAGAGAGCCTAAACCCTGCAACCCGAACATCGACGTGAATACCCCACAGAAATACCCTGAACATTTTTAAATTCCACTCGCTTGTGGGGTATCCTTGGGGAGGGAACCAAAGGTCAACCTTGAGGATTGTATAGGCAACATAATTACAGATTAAAGTACCCCAACGAGGTTAAAGGTTACCTACGCTACTCCAAAGAACCGTTATAGACCCTTATTGAACCCCCCCCTTGTAGAATCCCTTATACTGCTCCTTATAGTACCCCAAAACAGGTTAAAGGTTACCTACTCGACTACTGAGTCTTATAACCCTAACCCCGTCTGGAACTCTTGTAGATCCCTTTAAAGGAAACCTAAACCCCACTAAGTCCCATGACCCTTTACGTATAAAGGGAACTCCAGAAAGTTGGAATATGGTTTCAGGGTAGGATACCCTATAATTTACCTTAAAGGGGTTACGATAATGATATTCCAACTTTCTGGCTTCTACTGTACGTATAGGGGGCAGGATGGAGGAAGCCTGAAAGGCTCCTCCTTCGCAGTCTTCCGAGTCTCCCTCCTCCCAAGCCCTTCGGAGAAATTCACAGCAGGGCCGGCGCCAAGAGAAGGTGCAGTTCACGCTTTAGGTTTTAAGGGTTTAGAGTTTAGGGTTCACGGTTTAGGGATTAGGGACTTGGGGCTTAGAGTTTAGGGGTTAATGTTCACGGATAAGGGTTCAGGGGTTAAGAATTTAAGGTAAGGTAATATTAGGGGTTAGGGTTTAGGCTCTTCAAAACCTGATCTAGGGCCTAGGGATGGAGTTTGCTATATCTAAAGGTCGTTAATGAATGGATGGCCGCGTTTTTGCAGTCAAAGACCTCTGAGCAAGGGCACTGGAGGCTTTGGAAGTCAAGATCTTAAACCTTTAACTTGAAGCCCACTTGGAATGCGATGAATATGGATGGCCTTAAATAAAGCAGGTTTGAGATTTAGGTGCGAGGGCGCCGGGTTAAATATTCTGTGAATCCTGATGAGAAGACGGAAAGATTTTGGGCGCTGCCTCAAAACAATCCCAAAACCCTCGAACCCGAGACGTTGAACCGTTGAACCTTAAATCTTAACACCTACATAAACCCCAAAGCCCTCAACCCTGAACTGGACACCCACAACCTTAACGCCTAGACCCTGAAACCTAACACCTAGCACCTCAAACCCCCTCAAAATCCGAAAGCCCCCAAAACAGCCTAAACCCTAAACCCCAGCTCAAAGCCCGAAATCCTAAACCCCAAAGCCTCCAAACCCGAAAACCCTAAAAAAAGGCGCGAAGGCATGACCCGAGCTGCTGTGCCATTGGCGAGCCGCCGGAGTTCGTCGCGCTCCTGCCCGGTATGAAAGCGTCAAGCTACTAGGAGGATCATGGGACCCAGTAAGTATAAGGTTATAAGTGCCCTAATACAACCCTAGTTACTAAGTCCCATGACGCGTTAAGTAGGTGTGGAGGTCAACAGCCCCCCCCCCCCCCAAAAAAAAAAACAATGTTTAGAATTGGGGCTCTATATTCAGCAATAAGGGAAGTTAAAGGTTCTTCCAATTCGATACCTAGGTTCGGCTAGCTTGGCCCTTCAAAGGGTTCCTTTAATGGGGTCGATAAGGTGGGTTTAGAGTTTGGGGTTTCTGGCTTCGCGTGAAGCATTGAAGCGCCAGGCTAGGTTAGCCCATTAATCGCTCCCAACACTATTCGGAATTCGGTCAAATTAGGCCCCGTTTTAGGGTTTAGGGGTTCAGGGTTTAAGGAGAAAAGTTGAAATATCACGCAAATCCATCTGGTAAGAGAGTGTCTAGAAGTTTAGGGTTTTGTGATTAAGGGTCCTCGGGTTGTTAGCTTGGGGTTAGGGATTAGTATTTAGGGTTTGGTGGATTTATGTCTTACTGCTTTTTTTACATGCGGCAACGGACAGTCGCTCGGCTCGCTTGCCCGGTGTAGGGTTTAGAGTTTGGGTTTCAAGGTTTAGGTTTGTGGTTGCAGCTTTAGGCTTAGGGCTTGGGGGATTCACTTAGGGGCGGCCTTCAAACCTCAAACCACAAGACACCAAATGGTGGTTTACGATGGTTCGCTGCGCTGGCCTGAGAATTTCAGGTTTAGGGCTTCAATTTAGGATTGATTACACGGCGAGGGGGCTCGAGCTTCAGCGCGGGATCTCACCTGGATAGGAAGCCTGGATGTGAACCTCGAAATTGACTTTTCCGTTCAGGGTTTAGGATTTAGGGCAAATTTTGAGCTCGAAACTGGATCTGGGCTTTGCACACAAACCCACGAACACTAAACGCTAAATCCTAAATCCTAAACCCTGAAAACCCTACATCCTACACCCTAAGCCCTAAAACGCTAAACCCCTTTTCGGCAGAATCCGGTTTGGGCTTTGCGTTTTCGTCCTCAGGTCCCTAGGTTTCGGGTAGTAGTTATGGATGTTACTATTTGGGAGAGCGCATGACTATTAGGTACTTGGACCCGTAGGGATACGGGCCGCAATAACTTGAAGCGGGCTTGGGGTATGATTGCAGTCTTATTAGTATCTAGATGTATCTGGGGCCTAGAAGGTGATATTACGACCCAAAATCTAGGTTCCTGAGTAGCCCCTGAATGGTCAAGATACCCTTTTTCCCTCCTTGAAGTTCCGGCCTGATCTAGAAAGTCAGAAGCTGTTCTTCATCGGGACAATAATATAATCGGTAACCCTACAGGAACACTGTTGATGATTCAGACCCCTACTATGAGTCGCCTCAAATCGAAAGCTTTTGTGATTATTGAGGCTTGCAGGATCTTTGTGCAGCTTCCGGCACTGGAGGATCGCAGGACTTAGTAATCAGGCTGAGAGGGAATAAGAACTCGACCTACCCTGATCGTCTAAAATCTTCTAAGTACGGCTCGTACGATAAGGCTCTCTGCAATTCTCGCAGGGGTTGCTTCTATTCCAGTTGCCAGGGTAACAAAACGGGCGGCCTCAGTACAACAGCCACCTGAACCATCACTTTGAAAGAGGTGCTCGGTATCTTACACTGTCAGAACAAAAGGGTTCTCGGAAAAGTCAGTTGCTTGTTTTCAGGCTTCTGTACTCCACCTGCTTGCACCGGCAAAGGTGCCATTCAATCTGTGACATGGCGGCCGAATTCAGTTCGCATATGAATTCTGGAGCATGGCTCAGAGACAGTGCGCTGCATGCCTCAATTGCGCTGTAGAAGGAGATGACATCAGGCATGCATTTGGCTTGCAACATGTTCCCAAGCAGCTGCAAGACCATCGGCCACCGTCCGCCTTTCCGGCAGGCACCAAGGGCAGCGTTGAAGCTAAACTGGTCAATGGTGTGTCTGCTAGCAGACATTAAGTTCAGCAGGTGCAGGGCCAGCTCCCATTCGCCAACTGTTTCGCACACACTTATCCCTGCATTCATGCTGATCTGATCGGGCGCCAGCCTACCCTGGAAAAACTCCGACAGAAGATGCAGGGCCATCGCCCATTGTCCACCTTGCTCACTGGCACTGATGCCAGCAGTACGACTGATCTCGTCCGGCACAAGCCGGCGACAGGGCATGCCAAACAACAGCTGCAAAGCCCAAAGCCAGCGTCCACCTGGCCCGAAGTTTGGAGTTTCAGGCTTTCCGTGGTTGAGGGCTTTAGGGTTTAGGTTTTAAGGTTTGAATGCTTAGGAATTTAAGGTTTAGGGATAGGAGTTCAGCCGCCCGTGGACTGTAAAAGTCCGTTGTAGATCCGGGCTTCCGCGAAAAGTCCTGCTTGAAGAAGGACACCCTAACCCTAAACCCTAGAGATCCTTTATCCCGCGACCCTCAACTCCAGCCAGCAACCCCAAGTACCCTGTCTTAGAGGCCATCTTGTCCTTTGTGGATACTTAGGTTCGAACAGAGGGCAGTTGCCGAGCTTTGAAAAACCAGAGAGAAAACTATTAAAGTGCCATTCTTAATAGTCTTCAAGGAACGGGTCTCAACAAAACAAATCCATGCAGAACCCTGCGAATGCGCCCGGCCTGTCTCACAGCTGCTGATACTTGTGCTGAGGCTAATCTGGTCAGGGATGACTCGAACAGCACGCATCTTCGTGAGCCTGTACACGGATTCTCCAAGTATCCCTCAATTAAGGAAAATACCTTAAAATACTGTAGGGCCCCAGTTATGACTTAAGGTACATCTGAGTATGCTCAAAAAAGAGAGCCCTCGCGGTTGATTTGAGGGTCAGGGTTTCTGGCGGGTGTACACGTCTTATAGGGACTATAGGGTTCAGGGAAATATAGGGCTCGGTTTAGGCTGAAAACATGAAGAAGTGGCAATGTCTACCTGCCGAAATATGCAGGAACCCATGAGTTTGTCAGGAAAGTTAACGTAGGGGCCTTAATGCTTCAAATGGGGTTTTGGGCTCCTTTGTTACAGCATAAAACATGATAAGGACATCTATGGAATACTATTGGTAATGATTTAGGCTACTATATTCGACACCAAGCAGCAGCTGCAATGCAAGCGCCCACTGTCCACTTCGCTCGCAAGCACGCAGGCCAGCATTGAAACTGATCTCATCAGGTAGAAGGTCAGCTGTAGGCATAGCAGACAACAGGTACAGTGCCAGCGGCCATTGCCGTTGCTCTCCACATGCACTGATACAAGCATTGAGGCTGATCTCGCTTGGTAGGACACCGAAAGTATGCATGTGAGTGAGCAGATGCAAAGCCATCCCCCACTGCCCACCTTTCTCACATGCACTGAGTGCAGCGTTGAAGCTAATGACATTAGGTGATACAGTGGTAGAAATCATGGCAGCTAACAGATGTAAAGCCATCTGCCATTGTGCACGCTTCTCACATGCACTGACAGCTGCATTAAAGCTGAACTGGTCTGACACCACTCGTATTGCAGGCATCATTGCCAACAGGAACAGAGCTCTCTGCCATCGCCCGGCTTTTTCACACGCACTGATACTGGCGCTCCAACTTATAGTCTGTGGGACGAGTGTCGTTGTCCGCATCTGGTAAAGCAAGTCCAAAGCTCTTTGCCACCGCCCGCATTTTTCCGTGGCGCTGATGCCGGCACTGAAGCTGATCTCATCGACGGCAAGGTGGCCACTGCACAGCTGAGAAAGCCTTTGCAGAATTTGGTACCCTTGCAGAAATTGTCAGAAATTGTAGTTTTAGCTGTTTCTTAGGGATTATTAACAACCCCAAAACAAAACTGTTCCCAAGTACCTGAGAAGCAAATGGACTGCCATGTCCCACTCCCCACCCTTCTCAGATGCGCTGATGCAGGCGTTCCAAGTGATTCTGTCGGGAACCACTCTGACTGTAGACATCTCCAGCAATAGGTGAATTGCAGCCAGCCACTGCGCAGCACGTCCACATGCGCTTATGCCTGCATTGTAGCTGAACCTGGGGTTTGGCGCATGGCAGACTGTTCATGTGACATCCGCAAAAAGATCCCCTAAACCCTAAACCCTGAAACCCTAAACCCTGAAACCCTAAAACCCTAAAACCTGAAACCTAAAAACCCTTAAACCTGAAACCTAAAAACCCTTAAACCCTAAAACCCTTAAACCCTAAAACCCTTAAACCCTAAAACCCTAAAACCCTAAAACCCCAAACCGTGGCAGTGACAAGAAAGGATTGCAGCTTAGAGCTGAGGGCCTCGGGTTTCGAGTTCACAGCCCCGGAAGGAAAACCGAAACCACAATAAACCCTATAGAGTAGTATAGTCGTCCCTTATAAGGGTCCCTGAAAGTAGTCCCTAAGATCCCTATAGTAGCCTCTGAAACCAAAATCAAACCTGAAACACTCACCTAAACCGAAAAAACACAATGAAACCCCTTGGAATGCTAAACCCCTAGTTCCTAAAGCCTAACTTGCCAAGCCTGGAAAGCCAAGGAGACATCAGAAACCCTAAACCCTAAACCCTAAACCCTAAACCCAACTATCCAAGACTTCAGGATTCATATTTAAAGCTTGGAGACTATAAGGGTCCTAATAAAACCCGAGAAACCGAAAATCCGTAAGCCTTAAACTTTTAAACTCTATGAACCCTAAACCCCTAAATCCCTAGACCCCCAAAACCCTAAACCCGCAAATCCCTAAACCCCTGCACCCCTGAAGCCCTAAACCCCAGACCCCTTATAGATTCCTTGTAGAACCCTTACAGTACCCTTCTAGATCCTTTAAATTTAAAGGAACCCCAAAACCCCGGGGAGCTCGTTGGGTGAACTTCTGGCGTCCCCCATGGCGGCCAACAGAGACAACGAGAGCTCCCAGGCTCCTCCTGCCTTCCAAGACGGGTCGGATTTAGGGTTTAGGGTGTAGGGGTTTAGGGGGTTAGTGGTTTGGGGCTTTAGGGGTTTAGGGTTTAGGGTTTTAGTGGTTTGGGGGTTTAGGGTGTGCCTTAAACTACCAAACCCTACTTTTGCTGTAGGCTCTTTTTATACACCCTAATATGGAAAATATAGGGACCCTGCAAAAAAGTAGGTTTTGGGAGGTTAAGGTAGGGGTTTAGGGGTTTAAGGGTTTAGGGTTGAGGGGTTTAAGGGTTTACGGGAAGGGTCGGGTTTTGAGCTTTTGGGCTCCCACACGGTACTATTGGGGGCTGCGGGCTTAGGGCGTTTTGGGTGAGGGTTTAAGGACGTTTTAAGGCTTCAGGTCTGAGGCTGAAAAATGAAGGTTCTGGGTGTGACGGTTTTGGGTGTAGGGTTTAAGGTTTAGGGTTTAGGGTGTAGAGCTTAGGGTATAGGGTTTAGGGCGTAGGGTTTCGGGTTTAGGGTTCAGGTTCGGCTTCGCCCAGAAGCTCTCAACCAGGTTTAGGGGTTAGCGGTTTTACAGTCGCGGATGCTCCGCGAACGGATTGCAGGATCACGGCATTGTCGATCTAAACATTAAGGGCCTAGTGCATAATAGGGTCCGCGATTTGTCCAAACTCTCGTTCAGGATTCTGTTTTTATGGTCTTCGAGGCAGGGTCAGTATAAACCCTACCGCACGTGACGTAGGCAGACGTTTCGAAATCTCGTCATCAAAAATGGAAACTGCTATCGGGGATCAGGGTTTAGGAGTGTTCCGCTGATAGACTAATTGTATGCGGGCTGCTTTCAACGGTACTACGATGTATTAGGTATGAAAGATCGAAGACGGTAGGGCCTGGTGTCTACGGGAGATGTTGAGGAGGTGCGAGAGGTGCGATGGCCGCTGAAATGGTGCTGGCACAAGAAGCAATAAGTCAACCCTGAGTAAACACTAGCCCAACCCTCAAACTCTAGTATAGCCCTAACATCTTTAGAAAGCCACATAAAACCATTAACGACAAGCTAGACCTAAGTCCACTGATCCTTTTGCACAGCCCCGGGCCTCACACGCACTGATCCCGGCACTAAAACTGATCTGGTCGGGTACAATGCTGGCGATCGGCATTTGCGCCAGCAGATGCACAGCTCTCTCCCACTGCCCTCCGTTCCTTAATCACCCGGCTCGTTGCGGTTCGGACTTTCTGGTTCCAGCCCCTTAATGATAAGCGTGCCCTTTCTCCTACTATTCGGCTGTAATCAAGGAACCCAAGAAGAAAAAATTCAAAATGTACGTGGTTTTGCTGGGATTTAAAATCGAACAAAAAAACAACCACTGTTCTGGCCGAGACGAGGGTTCCCACAGGCAGTTATACAGGAATTCAGTGAGAAGTCGTCAGGTGTTAGTCTAGATATCCGCATTTCAGACAGAAGATGAAGGGCAGTCAGCCATTCTCCACATCTTCCACAGGCACTGATGCCTGCATTGAAGCTTATTTGGTCAGGCAAAAGCGTGGATGCCGGAATTTCTGACAGCAGTTGCACGGCCAGCTGCCATTGTGAACCTGCTGTGCAAGCACTGATGCCTGTGTTCAAGCTGACCTCATCACAGGCCACTCTGACAGCGGGCATCCTCGACAAAAGCCACAAAGCCATCTGCCAATGCCCCGACTTTTCACAGGCACTGACACTGGCATTGAAGCTGACAGCATCTGGCCTCACTCGAGCCCCTGGCATCTTGAAGAGAAGGTGCAGAGCCTGCTGCCACTGTCGACCCCGGCCGCAGGCGGTGATGACCTAAGTACCCACCAGATAACCCCTGCAGAAGGCGCGTGGGATCCCGACAGTCACGCAGTCTTAACACTCAGACCCTAAACCCACCATTGCTTGCTATACTATCGCCCAGGCCCTATAAAAACCCTAACCCTAAACCCTAAATATAGCAGCTTTTGCAAACCCGGTGGCAGCATTGCAGCAGAAGACGTCCAGCTCCGTGGCGGAGGCAGCTGCATCGGCCAAGATCTCCAAAGCAGCCTGCCACTGTCCAACGACTACTTGGAGGATCATGGGACTTAGTAAGTAGGGTTATAAGTACCCTAACTGGGGCTGTAAGTATAAGTATAGTTACCCTAATTATAACCCTAGTTACTCAGTCCCATGATCCTCCAAGTAACAAGGATTTCCTGAAGGGTTCCTTTAGGGTTGCTTTAGCAGGTTCCTTTGAAGGGTTCTTTGAAAAGGCTCTTCTTACAGGACTACTTTAAGGTGTTCCCTTAAAGGGTTCCTAGAAGGGTCGCCCAAGAAGAGAAACGTGTGTAGGATTTGGCATGGCCTGCCACTGACTGGTCCGACTGCAGCCGATGATGGCACGACTGCACCTCCGTAGTTCATCGGAAGGAACTGCGCCGGATTCTTGCTCCTTCCCTGGCCTGGAGGTTAGGGCCCTAAGCCCTGAGCCCCTCAACCCTAAACCCCTGAACTCTAAACCCCTCAATACTAAACCCCTCAACCCAAAGCCCCGAAACCCTAAACCCCTAAGCCCTAAATCCTAAACCCCAACCCCCTAAGCCCTAAACCCTAAACCCTGAGCCCTAAACCCTAAACCCCTAAGCCCTAAACCCTGGTTTAGAGCTTATAGCTTGCCTGCAGCCCCAACCAACGAGCCGACCAGATGGGGATTAAATGGAGGTTCTGAAGATTGGGGACCCTAATATAGTACCCTTCATGGTAGGATCCTAAACCCTGAACCCTAAACCCTTGAAGCTCCATACGAAGGTTCTATAACACGAAGCCCAGGAGGTATGTTTAGGCAAGTTTCCAAGAAATTGAACTTATGCTACAGTAGAACTCACGCGTCTGCTTCGTATTGATAGACGCACATACATATATATATATATATATATATATATATATATATATATACCTTTGTTTATTCATTTACATATACACATATATATATATATAAGAAGATATGAGCGATGGGCAATATTCGTTTGCGCAGAAGCGGTCTTTGTTTTGATGTTATCGTTTTTGGACCTTCACCATATCGTTTTACATATCAAACGCAACATCAGCGGCATAAGTATCATACTGCAAGTAGCAAGCATGTCCAAACTCGGATCTGTCTGCAATGCTTAGCGGGCCCCTGTGCAAGTTTCAGGGCCTCAAAAGAAACTTCTGGAGCACTCCTGTTCAAAAAGCCAGGTCCGACAACTGCGAACTGTAGGCAAACGGCACACACACAAAGAAAGGAGGTGATCCCGAGATTGGCACCCGGCCTAGTCCAAAAATGCGCTTTTGTGAGCAGAACTTGATAAGCAAAAGCCAAACCCAATTTGCCAGATCACAGGAGGGCAAGGCGAAAGCCTGGAGTTTAGGCACACACAAGGAGCGGCCCTGTTTATGTGACTGCAAACGGTTCTTTAAGAGTTCCTGGTAAGGTTTTGGGGGCCCAAAATAAGGTTTAGAAGCACCCGTAGCACGCACAAAGAAAGCCGGGGACCCCGAGATTGTCACCGGTCTTCCAATTTTCCAAATAACAGAGGTTTGGAGCAGGCACACACGAAGAACGGCCCTGTTTATGCGACTGCCAACGGATTTTTAGGGTTCCTGGGAAGGTTTGGGGATACCAAAACAAGGTCATGGAGCACCTGTAATAGCTTTCGTTCCGGTTTCGGCCAGGCTAGAGTCTCGACAATTCGGATCTGTCTGCAAATTCTTAGCGGACTTCTGCGCAGGTTTCAGGGCCTCAAAAGAAACTTCTGCAGCACTCCTGTTCAACAAAAGCCTGGTCCAACAACTCCGAACTGTAGAAACCCTAATTATCCCTTGTCGTAACCTTCTACACCAAAAACGGTCCGGTAGTTTTCGGACCCCTGGAAGTGAGTTTACATGACACGGCTCCAGGCTTTGCACACAGACACACAAACAGACAACTAGGCATGTGGCAGGAGCGGATTGGTACAACACCCGTCCCCTTGAGCCAAATTGTTGAGCCAAAATTTGGATTTCAGCAAACCTCCAAACCCCGGCCCGTATGCACTGAGGGGGTAAAGCAGCCGCAACCGCTTCCCCTCCCCAGCTTCGCTCTCAATGCAGTCTCTTTGACAGAGCACGGGCACGCAGGGTTTGGACATTTGCCGAAAGCTTGTCTTTGTTTCTCCAGTGCGCCCCATCCGAACCCAGTCCCCTCCCCACTCTCCCTTCTGGCGCGAGCAAGATAGTTCCCCCAAGTGTGCGTGAGACATACGCCAGCACAGCAGTACCCTGCCCAGCCCTGGGACCCCGACAAATGGTTATACATCACACGCTCAGGTTCGGGAATGAGTTGACATCACAAGGCGCGAACACAGTACGGACCCCTGGAAGTGAGTTTACACCGTGGTCACTGGCACGCTTGGGTAGTTTTGGGATCCCTGGAAGTGAGTTTACATCACACATCTTTTGCTTCTTTTACTTCCGACAACAGACGGTCTGGATCGCGAAGGCGCATGTAAGTTTATGTGATGGTGAAGGCACCAATCAATAAATACGATGTCACCGCCCTCGCCGAGGAAGCAGCAGCTCCCGGGGTAAGGCTCTAGACTCTGTGTGCACATGTGCGTGAGTTCGAATAGCTCCTGGCACATGTTTTCAAGCCGGGGGTGCCATGCCCAAAAATGCGCGTTTTGGCAATTTTGGAGCCGCTGGAAGCAGCAGTTTCGGTCAGGAAGATCGAGCCCGCGACCCTGCCCAGTTTGGTTGATACAGTGGCCGCCCCACATTTGCTGCGGAGTTATAGACAGCTCAGCGTGTAGACACACGGCTCTCGGGATAAGCGGGGAAGGTGTGCGGGCTCGATTCCCGCTGGGGTTGTTTAGGTCCCTTGACCAACTTGACCAATTGTAACCGAGATTTTGGATGACCAAAACCTTTCGAGAGGGCAGGTGCCCGCGCCGTCGGACGAAGCGGGAGCTTTGAAGCCAACTGATCCGCCACAGTTGCTAGCGTGCTGCAGCAGGTTTGGGATCCCGGGAACTGAATTTACATCACACACGCAGAAAAGTTCCAAGCACAGGCGGTTGTGAACTGGCTTGCTCTGTTAGGTTTAGGACACCTGGAAGTGAGTTTTCGTCGCACGGCTCCAAACCCCCCATGCACTGGCATGATTGTTAGCGCGATTAGGTAGCTTTCGGACCCCTAGTTCACATGGAATGGGCTCTGGTGTGGTTCCCAACGTGCCCGGCTCCAAGAAAGCACTGGCGTGGTGAACTAGCGCACTGTAGGTTGTTCGGCACCTCGGTAAGTCATTTTGTGCACGCCCTTGCCAAACGAGGCATTTCCAGTACTGAAGTTGTACTACAAGAAAGCACAACTCAGCCAGAAGCCGAAACGAGGCATTTCCAGTACTGAAGTTGTGCCACAAGCAAGCACAATACTGTGGGTTGTTTGGCACCTCGGTAAGTCATTTTCTGCACGCCCTTGTAAAACGACCGAAACGAGGCATTTCCAGTGTACTACAAACAAGCACAATCCAGCCAGGAGCGAAAATAGACATTTCCACTTGCAAAGCCCCTTTATCCTTCCTTGGCCTCTTTCAAGACCCGTAGGGTTTAGGGTTTAGGGCGTTGTGAACTGGCTTGCTCTGGTATAGGTTTGGGACGCATGGACAGTTTCTAGCGTGCTGCAGCAGGTTTGGGATCCTGGAAACTGAATTTACATTACACACGCAGAAAAGTCCCAAGCACAGGTGGTTGTGAACTGGCTTGCTCTGTTAGGTTTAGGGTACCTGGAAGTGAGTTTTCGTCGCACCGCTCTAAAACCCCTCATGCACTGGCGTGATTGTTAGCACGATTGGGTAGCTTTCGGGGCCCTAGTTCACATGGAATGGGCTTTGGTGTGGTTCCCAACGTGCCCGGCTCCAAGAAAGCACTGGCGTGGTGAACTAGCGCACTGTAGGTTGTTTGGCACCTCGGTAAATCATTTTTTGTGCACGCCCTTGTAAAACGAGGCCATTCCAGTACTGAAGTTGTACTACAAGAAAGCACAAATTCAGCCAGAAGCCGAAACGATGCAGTTCCAGTACTGAAATTGTACCACAAGCAAGCACAATCCAGGCAAGAGCCGAAACGAGGCATTGCCAGTACTAAAGTTGTACTAGGGTTTAGGGTTTAGGGCGTTGTGAACTGGCTTGCTCTGGTAGGTTTGGGACGCCTGGACAGCTTCTAGCGTGCTGCAGCAGGTTTGGGATCCCGGGAACTGAATTTACATCACACACGCAGAAAAGTCCCAAGCACAGGCGGTTGTGAACTGGCTTGCTCTGTTAGGTTTAAGACACCTGGAAGTAAGGTTTCGTCGCACGGCTCCAAACCCCCCATGCACTGGCATGATTGTTAGCGCGATTAGGTAGCTTTCGGACCCCTAGTTCACATGGAATGGGCTCTGGTGTGGTTCCCAACGTGCCCGGCTCCAAGAAAGCACTGGCGTGGTGAACTAGCGCACTGTAGGTTGTTCGGCACCTCGGCAAGTCATTTTGTGCACGCCCTTGCCAAACGAGGCAATTCCAGTACTGAAGTTGTACTACAAGAAAGCACAACTCAGCCAGAAGCCGAAACGAGGCATTTCCAGTACTGAAGTTGTACCACAAGCAAGCA